ATATACACACACACACACGCACACACACACACTGATAAAGGGTAGAAGAAAACAAATAAGCATTAACTAAAAAAAAAAAAACTGAAAACTGATTTACACTGCTTCAAGAACACTTTTCTTTTTCTATATATAATGCACATTCTCATGGTAAAGAAAAAGTTTCATAGTTACAAATGTAACAATGCATATTTGATACAAAAAGACAAATATATAAGTGTGTGTGTGTAAAATTATTTATATATAAAGGTGTTCAACACCAATTATAGTTTTCCTAAATGAAAATATATTTCTGATTAGCTTTCACAAGATTAGCTTTTCTCGTTTTGTGCTGCCCTCTGTATGCAAATTTTTTCAGAAACACGAGCACTACTATCACGTAATGCATGTGACTCCCTCTACGCACCACTACTGAACTATAACTTCAAAGTTTGGCAAAAAATGCGAGCACCAGAAGATTGTGGGAAGGATGGGTGGAAAGTGTAAGCGGAGGGAAGTACCTATCAGAAATACATTTTCATTTTGGAAAATTGTAACTTCTAATAAGATACTCTCCCTCCACTCACAAGATTAGCTTGAATCCCACATTGAAATGGAGGAGAGACCAGTGCGAGGGAAGCACAGGCATATCCCCTGGGAGAATCCAGAGGACACCCCCAAAATGAGAGGAACAGATCAGATGATCTGAGGAGGGGTACCACACCACATCTGAACCAGGTCTCTCTTCGCCAAGAACATCAACATGATCAGGAGGACCAGACATGGTGGAACATGAAAGGAGCACATCCGCGTGGAAGAGAACAGTTTATCAATGTGATCTTAAACAGAAATTAGAATCACTCAATCCCACAATGGAAAATGGGTAAGTGGCTAAGGCACGACAGACCATACTCGGTAAGTCAACTCCATTCAACACCTAACTCGCTGGGTACCAACATCCTCACAAGGGTAGGATCATACAGTCTTAACCTCAAGTCCCAGAGTCAAGAGAGAACATAACATTCAACTCCAGGAACTCTGAACTGAATGGTTATAGCCAACTTTGTGGAACCAATCCATCAGGTTGCCTCTATGATGAACCACCCCAGCAGTTTGGAACTGGTAAATGGTAAGGATTCCTGTATTAAACTGGAAGAAAGAGGGAAAAAGTCCAGTGGAGAGTCCAGAGGGACTGCAACATCCTAGACAGTGCAATGGGTGATCATGAAACCCCATTTTTAAAAGCAGACCACACCAATTTATTCAATCCAGGCATGGCAGTGATGGGTAGCAAACCCCTTCTGCTTTACCCATGCCATTCATGGGTGGTACGGTCCCAGACAGGCATATTATGATGCAATTATCATGAGGAATTTACACTCTAGTGATCTTGTGAAACACCCCATCTCAAGGGTGAGCATACATAGTCATGGAAAATTTAAAAGAATCAACATGGCTTACAGTGCAGATTTGATAGCAAGATGTGTGCAAATGGTTATAGCCATCTAAGTGGAATCCATTCTTAGTACAGACAGAAACATGGTCAGGCACCACTCATCACAGAGTGAGATCCAAAGAAAGCATTAGTAATGACTTAACTCGTGTCACAGCCGCACTGAAGTCTGTAGAATAGCCACAGGCAGCAGGTGATACCCCGAGTAAGCAGAAACAGCGATGTAGTGTAGGTAGTGGGAAAAGAACATGTGCAGAGTAGTCCACATGCCCAATCATACAATCTCCTCCAATGGCCGATGAAGACGAGGCATGGGAGAAGGTAAGGTGACGGATTTTATGTGAGGAAACATGAAAGAGATCATGCTGGGAATAGGCCAACTGGATCAAATGTTGAACCCAACTGGACAGGGTAACCAGGGAAAGATCACGAGAAGAGGCAGGTTGCCAAGGGATAAAAAGGCAGGAACGAGGACCCGAAAGCAAGCCGTGTGAGCAATATAACAACAAAGGGCACAGATAGGACAGAGGAGTCTATCTCGATCAGGACGAGGGTAGAGATGAGATATAGAGGATAGGCTAATAGGAGAAAAGGAGGACTGACCTTCTCGAGCTGCAGAGGTCTTAGGAAGGAAAGCACGGACCAAATAAAGGATAAGGTAGGAGGAGTGGTACAAGGTCCTGGTAATGTCGAAGCAAAAATATCCAACCTCTGACGTCTGCCCACAGGGCAGGAGGAGGAGAAAATATGCCTTCAAAGAGAGGTAAAACAGGGAACACATAGACAGAGGTTCAAATGGAGGTAAAGTGAGAGCATGAAGGACCACATTAATGTCCCAGTCCAGAAACAACGGGCACTTTACTGAATGTATGAGATAACACCACCTGAAACCCTGAAATTGAGGAAACCGAAAAGTCCCTTTCAAAGAACCACGTGAGAAACTCGGAGATATAAGCAACTGTTGGGTGAGAAGCCTGGAAACTCAAGTCAATGCCCAGGAGCAATAAATGCTCCATTTGCAATGATAGATGGCCAAAGAAGAAGAGTGAATGGAATGGGCTAAATGTGAAGCTATTCTGCGAGAGAAACATGAACTCCTCTCCAAGGATCTGACAAAAGCTAGGCATGAAGATAGAGGATAAACGGCACATAATGGAGTGCTGGTGACCGGGGTTGATGGAGCAGGTCGGGATGGTAGGGAAAAGGAGGGGGAGGGACCACCTGCAGCTGGAGCAACCGAGGGAACCAAGGTTTAGAGGGTCAGTAAGTAGCAATCAGAAGGACTGTGTACAGAGTGGCATGGATGAGGAAGGCCACACGATGAAGTAAATGGATGGGAAAATAAACATAAAAAACAAATGAGACCAATCTGGCTGAAGCCATTGACAGCCAAGGCTCAAGGTCATGGAACCAGGGTCCAAAACCAAGGTAATTTGTGATTGAGGGCAGTGGCAAAGGCATCAATATGGGGTGTACCCAGATGCAGAGAGAGCCACCCAAAAATGGCAGGATGCAAGGACCACTGCATGGGATAAACACGATCCAGTCGAGAAAGACATTTGGCCTACGAGATTGAAAGCACCCGGTACATGACACGCCATCAAACGAATTTCATGTGTGTGGGCCCAATAAAGAAGATCCACAGTGCAAAAACACAGGGATCTGGTCCTGGTGCCACCTTGGTGACTGATATAAGCCACTATGGTAGAACTGTTGGAATGGATCAATACCAGCTGGCAAGGGA